CCCCAAAACCCCAAAACCCCAAAACCCCAAAACCCCAAATATATTATTAATTATTGACTGCAAATAAATGAAGAAGGAACTGGAACAAGAGAAACCTCCCAACGAGAAGGAAACTCAGATGATGGAAGAGGTTCTAGTAGGGGATAAAGAGAAAGGCTATAAAAATAAAGCATCTACTTGTCAAACCATATTGAATACTTTTAAACTCTTCCTTGGGATATCTATTCTCGCTTCACCTCATGCCTTTATGAATAGTGGCATTGTTGGAGGGATTATTGGAATTTCCCTAGCTACTTGTCTCTCAATTGGTACGGTATTAATGCAATCAGATGCAGCAGAAAAAACAGGAAGTATCATAAATTCTTATAGCGACCTTGGATATGCTCTTTATCGAGGAAGAGGTAAACTTATCGTTGATACTTTTATTCTATTTGCCCAATTAGGAATCTGAACTGCTTATCTCATTTTTAATGGTAGACAAATAGAGCAAATCGTTTGTCTCGAGACTCAAGGAGAAATTTGAGGGCATAAAAATGTGTACATTTTTCTTGCAACCTTGATCCTGTCTCCTATTTGTTGGATAAAGCATTTAAAAAATTTATCATGGATTGCTTTCATAGCTTTGGCTGGGATGCTAATGGCATTAGCAGTGATTTTATACTATGATATCTACTACATCACTATTGAAACAGTTGAAGAGGAAGAAGAAATAGAAGCAACAATAAAAATATTTGATATCGTTCATTATCCATTATTCTTTGGTATAGCAGTTTTAAACTTTGAAGGAAATCCAGCTACTTTGAATGTTCAAGCTTCAATGAAAAATCCTCGGAGGTTCTCATTTGTATTTTTCTTAAGTGCAATCTCAGTTTCAACTCTTGTAATTATTGTTTCATCTTTAAGCTATATTGCATATGGAGATGAAGTGGAAGATCTCATTACCCTGAATCTTCCTCATAATGACTTAACTACAATAGTCAGGCTTGTATATTCTTTAGGACTTTTAGCAAGTTTTCCTCTGCAGATGTTCCCTTGCTTGGATATTGTAGAAGGATTTAGGTGATATAAATAGCTTGCCAAACCTTCCGAATTTTCCTGTTGCAAAATTCTTAGTGACGAGATCATGAATTGTAATATTTTGAGGGATCATAGCAGCTTCAATCCCTCAATTTGGCTTATTCCTTGATTTTATTGGTGCATTCTCAGGAACAGTATTATGATTTATCCTTCCTATCGTCTTTTATAATAAAGCATTTGCTGATGAAATAACTAGGTCAAGGCTGGTATTTAACTATTTCCTTCTGAGCATTGGTACACTACTAGGAGGAATAAGTGCAGTGGTCTCATTTATTGAAATAATATCTGCTTTAGTGTAAAATTTGATCAATAATTCAATAATAATGAAAAAAATTGGGGTTTTGGGGTTTTGGGGTTTTGGGGTTTTGGGG